AGTTAAAACCACTTTTTTTCCGGTTTAGGGGGCAATTTGACAAATCCATATAGTTGGGGTGGTGGTTTGTTAAAAAAAATAGTTTATATGATGATGCGCAAAAATCGTTATAGTTCAGATGGGAAAAACTTTTTTACCCTTTTATAACATTCGATAGTATAATTATGTATTTTTGTGTCAAAAAAAATATTTTTATTTTATTACGTTTTTCCGAAGTTTCCACAATTAGGTGACCTTCATTAACTGGGAACATAGATAAAAAGGCAACGCGAAATTTACATGTCTATAAGTGAACAAGTGGACTCTCCACAGTCACATACAAGTTCCATCTATTGGATTTTTTCTCTCTCTAGAGGCTCGTTCCATCTATTGGATTCTGCTATTAGTCTTCTTCTCCTTTTTAGGGCTTCTCATCTATCCTCTAATCTTTTCTTGTTCTTGATTTGCATCTGCATTTTCCCATTTTCTCGTTCCTCACTTCTTTTCTCCTTCTTTTTCTCTCCTATCTCTCTTTTTTCAGGTTCTCCAGGGATTCACTGCTGTCTCTTTCAAGCTATCTTGTGCTCCTAGTCGGCTCTTTCCGGATCTTGTGTGGTAATGGAAAAAGATATTACGGATAAACTCCAAAAGTTTGTATTGTCTGAAAAAGAAGGTGCTGGGGTCACTCTGTTGGAAAACGATGTAGATCTGACAGTTCAAGAATGTCAACTCAGCCTTATAGGGCAAATCTTTGGCGAAAAGAGGGCAAATTTCAATGGGCTCAACGCCACACTGCGAAACATCTGGATCACCAAGCAACCATTCCGAATCAAGAATCTAGGGCAAAATGCATTTCAGTTTTTATTTCAGAACGCGGATGATAAAGAAAGGATTCTCTATGGGAAATCATGGTCATTTGACGGCCAGTACCTCTTGCTCAAACCGTGGCAGCCTCACGCAATAGACTTCAAGCCTGAAGAGGAAAAAATAAAAATATGGGTACAAATTCATAATCTCCCACTCCACTGGATAGGGCTGGAAACCGGATACAAGATAGGCAAGCTATTCAGTAAACTCCATGATGTGGTGGTGCCTGGAAATGGCAGTCCAAATGGCAAGGTTATGAAACTTATGGTGGATCTGCAACTCAATGAGCCGGTGCTTCGAGGTACACACCTTAAACTAGGCTCAGATAGCAAATGGGTGGAGTTTAAATATGAGAACATTCAGAACTTCTGCTATTACTGTGGTCGAATAGGGCATGGTGATAAGAGCTGCTCTGTTAAAAGAGATGATGCGAATAGGAATGTGCTTAACATTGGTCAATACGGGGACTGGCTCAGAACCTTTAGTGGTTCTCTCAGTGATTACAAAAACGATAGCCCGTCCCCCTTGGCTAGCCAACCCAGTGTCAAGGACTCTAAAAACTCCCTCCCTCCAGAGATTAGTCCAAACCTAGAAACCAATGCTGAAATTGATAAAAACAATGAGGCTATTGACAATTCCATGGGAGGTAACTCAGTCAAAATGACCCCTGCAGAACCACCCCTCACTTCACACCCTCAAGCTCCCATTGTCACTACTGCAAACCAACAACCTCTTCTGGACTCTATTCAAAACCCATTGCAACTAGTGGATGTGGGTATCCAATCCTCTAACACTAGTAGCAGGTCAACCCTTAAGAAGAGATACACTCCCAGAAAGCCAAAAGCTACCAGTACTACCCCTGAAGATCAAATGCTGGTTGATGCAGCAGATCTTAAACCCCCTGAGTCTTCTTCTGTCAAAAATCCTAAAAAAAGACATTTTGAAACCTTTGATTCAATCCCCTTAGACTCTGAGTTGAAAGGCTCTGAATCTAAAAAATCCAAAAAATCTTATCTCCTAATTATTTCTGTGGTGGAGGAAACCAGCCCTAACTGGTCCCACAGTGATCAATGAAGGTCAATGTGTGGAATTGTAGAGGTATGGGGGGTCCCTCTACAATTTCCCAATTCAGAGAATCCCTTAGGATTCACCACCCAGACTTTTCTTTTCTTTGTGAAACAAAAAAAAAACCAAAATTTGTTGAATCTGTCTGTAGGAAGCTTAGGTTAGATAATAGGTGGCTTTATGTTAATCCTGTTGGCTCTAGGGGAGGCCTTTTTTTATGTTGGTCCAATAACATCTCCATTTTGGACATCATCACTCTTGACTTCTGCATTGAAGTCAAATTCTTATTCCAAGGCAGCACCATCATCCAATGGGCTTGTTTTGTTTACCTTAGTACTGATAACACTGTTAGAAGTGTTCAATGGTCCATCCTTCTCAGACACAAACTGATGTGGGATGATTATTGGTTCATGGCAGGGGATTTCAATGATCTTCTTTGCCATCAGGATAAGCAGGGGGGTAGAAATAGAGAAGCCAGTAGCTTCAATGGCTTCCAAAGGTTTGTTAGAATTATGGAAATGGCTGAAACCAAAATTTCAGGACACAAGTTCACTTGGTCCAATCTCAGGAACGGCAGCCAATTCTTGGAAGAAAAATTAGACATATTTTTCTTCTCTCCTGCCTGGTTAATCCAATTCCCAAATTCCATTGTTAAGCACATCCCTCTCACTTCTTCTAACCATTGCATGCTGGCTCTGGTTAGTGATTGTCATATGGAGAAAAAGTCCAAAAGATTCACATTTGATACTAGATGGGTGCATCTCGATGGTTATGATGAATTGATCACTGAAGCATGGAATAAGACAGTTGAAGGGCCGACTCTTTATAGTATTCAGGAGAGAATCAAGAATGTTAGGATTGCTATCTTGAAATGGAAATCCCAGCTTTCTCTAAACTCAGCAAAGATCATTGCGGATTGTCAACTCAAGCTTACTCACTTGAATGCCCAAGGCGGAGACAGGAACTGGGAGGAATGGTTTAGCTGCAAAAGTCTCCAGAACAAAGCCTATTTGGAGGATGAAATATTTTGGAAACAAAAATCCAGAAATTTATGGCTTCGAGAAGGGGACAAAAATACCAAATATTTTCAAGCTTCGGTCAAGCAAAGAAGAGAGCAAAACAGTCTCTATTGCCTTGTCAAACCTGATGGTGAAAACTGCAAAAATGACCAAGAAATCCTCAAAGAATTACTGCATTACTTCACCTCTCTCTTCCAGACTTCAATTCCTGATCTTGACAGATGCAATCTGAGGGGTATTCCTAAATCAATTTCTGATTACCACAGCAAGATCTTATGTAGAGCTGTTACTGAGGAAGAAATCAAGACAGCTTTGGATGAGATGGACCACAAAAAATCCCCTGGCTCTGATGGTATGACCTCCTTTTTCTATCACCATTCTTGGCACATTGTTAAAGATTCTCTGTGTGAGGCTGTTCTTAATTTTTTTAAAAAAGGGAAGATGCCCAAAGGCATTAATCATACAGTTATCACTCTTATTCCCAAAAGAAAAAACCCCACCAAAGTTTCTGATTTTAGACCCATTAGTCTTTGTTCTGTCATTTACAAATTAATTGCCAAAGTCCTTGCCAATAGAATCAAAACTGTCTTGCATCTTTGTATTTCTCCTGCTCAATCAGCATTCATCCATGGGAGACAAATAGTTGACAATATCATCATAGCCAATGAAAGCATCCACTACCTGAATAGCAAAAGAAAAGGCAATAATTGTTTCATGGCCTTAAAGCTTGATATGGCCAAAGCTTTCGATAGGGTAGAATGGCTTTTCCTTGTCAAAATTCTTCAAAAAATGGGCTTTGCTGATCTTTTCATCTCTTGGATTTGGACATGCATTTCCACAACCTCATTTTCTTTCAATATCAATGGGCTGCCTAAAGGTTATTTGACCCCATCTAGAGGTCTCAGACAAGGGGACCCTTTGTCCCCTTATCTTTTCATTATTCTCTCAGAGGCCTTGTCCAATCTTCTTAAGCATGCTAGTTTTATTGGGATTTACAGTGGCATTAGAGTTAGCATACACTCTCCCCTTATCACTCATTTATTTTTCGCTGATGACTCTTTGCTTTTTTGTCAAGCTGACACACCTCATGCTCTTACTATTCTGAATATTCTGGCTGATTATGGAGCCTCTTCAGGGTAATTTGTCAATATGGATAAATCTTCAATTTTCTTTTCTCATAACACTCATTCTGACACTATAGCATATATCTGCTCATTGCTTAATGGGATCTCTCATGTGCATTCATTTCAATATTTAGGTCTCCCTCTAGGCATAGGCAGATCAAAAAGAAACACTTTCAAATTTATTACTGAGTGTGTGAGGAAAAGAGTGGAAAACTGGAAGAATCATTTTCTAAGTGAAGCAGGTAGAGAGACACTCATTAAGTCTGTGATTGGAGCTTTACCCACCTATGTGATGTCTTGCTATAAATTGTCTGCTTCTGTGTGTGATGACATTTGCAAGGAATCTGCTTCCTTTTGGTGGGGGGTTAACAAGGGAGGGACTAAAAAACTTCATTGGGCTTCATGGGACAACCTCTCTCAGCCTAAAGACTTGGGAGGGCTTGGGTTTAAAAATCTTAAAGCTTTCAATGATTCTCTTCTTGCTAAGCAAATTTGGAGGGTTATTTCCCAACCTGACCTCCTCATGAGCAGGGTCATAAGTGGTAAATACCTTCACAACCAGACCCTCAAAACTGTTAAGCCTAAACAGGGTGACTCGTGGCTTTGGAGAAGTTGGATGGGATGTATCAAAATCATTAATTTGGGTGCTAGGTTCCAGGTTGGCAATGGGAACTCCATATCCATTTGGGACTCCCCATGGATTCCTGGCATTCCATCATTTACTCCCACTCCCAACTTTCTAGATGACAAAAATAGACTTTCATGTGTGAGTGAGCTAATTCTTGCGGGAGGGAAAGATTGGGATAGAGAATTGGTGCAGCAAACTTTTAACCCCCATGTTGCAGATATTATCCTTCAAATCCCTCTCAGCCATCAAGGACACAGAGACAAACTCATATGGCATCTTACTAATACAAGGACTTTCACTGTTAAATCTGAATACAATATGGCTCTGAACCAACTTTCTAATGACACAAATGCTCCAGAATCCAGCAAAGGCACTTCTGCAAACAGGAGAATGTGGGACCTCACCTGGAAACTACCAGTCCAAAACAAGATCAAAAATTTCATCTGGAGATGTTTGAGAGGTTTCATAAGCTCCAAGAAAAGACTCCAATGCAAAGGCCTCACTATTGATAGCATATGTGATCATTGTGGTGCTGCTGAAGAAGACCTAGAGCACTTATTTTTCAAATGTCCAAGAGCACAGATCTGCTGGAAGATCAGTGGACTTCAATGGAACAAGATAACAGACCATCCCAACTTCTCTTTTGCAGAATGGTGGTCCAACATCTGTAATGATTCAAGTCTCCCAGCCATGACTGATAGGATAAGTTTATCTACTTATCTTATGTGGTGGTTATGGAAGACTAGAAACAACTGGCTGTTCAACAAGGAGAAATGTTCTGAGGTTGAGGTGGTGAGAAGAGCTACTCATGACTGGAATGAATTCACTGATGTTGGGTTACAAGTCCCTACAACCATAATAGATAAGATGAGCAACAACATGACTCCTTTAGAGGAATTTTTCCCCAGAGTAGGGCAGATTTCTATCTCTGCCAGTGCTCTACCCTCTTTGGATGGATGTGTTGTGTTTGCAGCTGTGGCAAAATCGGAGGACCTCACTCTGCTGGAATGGAATGAATCATACATGTATGAGGGAGATGAGCTTGGGAAAACACTGTGTTTAGTCAGATGGATCTTGGAAAAAGCAATTCAAGCTGGATGGTCTGACATTCTATGCAAAATCACAAAAAAAGGCCTAGCTAAACAGCTTAAAAGAAGACAGAATTTCAGCTGGAAAATACACACTGTGGCTGAAGATATCTACTCCCTTGCTAATCTGCTCTCTTCTTGTGAATTTGCAGATGATGTACCTTAATTGTTGTATCTTGGCTGATCTTTTTTATTTTTCCTCTTTTCTTCCTTTTTTTCTTTTCTTTCTTCCCTCTGTTTCTAGGTGTTTGCAGCATTATTGCTATTTTTAGATTTCAGTTGAGTCTGGAGTCGTGATTATGAACTTTGTTGAACCTATTGTTCTCTTTTTAGTTATATACCAGTTATCGTTTAAGAAAAAAAAAATAACTCTTAGTCATCTTAATTTCATCTTTACCGTGGAATAGAAGTTTTATCATATCAGGATTTGTAGATACAAATAATATCAAAAATACGATTCATCACTTTAATCCCAAGAATCCCAAAATCTTGCAGTCATCCACTCCTTCTTAACAGACGTAATTAACCTCATATTTACCAATAAATTATTTCAAAATTATGAAAAATAATTTCATATTTCTGGCGATCGATTTATAGAGCTCGATCCAGTCAAGATCTCCCCTTCCTTATTTTTTTAAATCACGATATGGGAATGGGCATGGAAAAAAATCGGTTGAGTAAAAATTCGGTTAATCGACATCTTGAATTGCAAAAAAAAAAAAAAAAAAAAGAAAAAAAGAAAAAAAGATCGTCCAACCACAAAATATATGTTAAAATATATTGTAAATATACATGATCTCACAATTCTCTATTCTTAAGCGTATAGTTATACATAAGATAAACAACATATAAATAATTTTGAAACGGGATTACACATAATACATGATTCTGAATAATTGCAAAAATTCGAATTGAATGTAGTTATACATAAGATAACAACATATAAAAAATTCTTAAACGAGATTGATTGACCTCACCACTCCCAACGTCACCCCTTCATCTTCTCAACGAGCACTGGTAATCTTCGACATTGCACGAGTGAATCATAGCATTGCTCGAAAGCCAATCGACAAATTGAGAAAAAAATTGAAAAAGAAAAAAGAAAAAAATAGAGAAAATCGATTGATACTTGAGAAACAGACGGACAGGGACGTCTCCTAAACTCTCAGTCGCCACCGATGGTAGCGAGCCACAAGGTGGGGGCCTACATGTTGCAGTCGAGCATTGTTCGGGGCTACGCCCGCGAGCCACGCATCAATCGCGGTGAGCTTCTGATTGAAAGATGAGGAGATGTATCATGGGCGAAATTTTTATTGAAATATGAGAACTAGAAGAATAAAATTAGGGAACACAATTATTCAGAACTTCTCATCTTGTGCAGGGGCATAGCCTTTAATGGACTGGTGTGGACCTAGGCCCACACTGAATTTTCCAAAAATTACTTAGGATTATATATAAACTAATTAATTAATAATTTAATTTGTATTATGTAAGTATAATTGTACCTCTCTCTTCAAATTATAAAATACCTTATGGCATTTTGTTTATCAATCACTAATTACTTTTTATTTATTTTTATTTTTAGGCATCAACACTATTTATTCTATTTTACTTAAATTTGACCTAATATATAATTATTAATTACTTAATATGAGTTAAGTAAGAAGACTCAAAAATTTTAATTAATTAATATTTCACGTACATATACAAGTTTCCATGAAAATAACTTGAAATTATATTTATGATTAATAGTTAATCTACTTTTTTAAAAGCTTAAAAGAAAATAAATGGAGAAACTGGATATATGACTTTTTTCTTTCTTTTCATTCTCAATATTTATCGTGCTGGAACTAAGAAAACAATAAAAAGAAAATTATAAAAAAAAATATTTTATTTCATCTCACCTTTTTATCTACAAGTAACACAATTAAAACATAATAAATTCTTATTATTTTATACGTTCTAATAATAATTTTATTAATTACTAACATATTTTCATTTGTTGATTAATACATTTTTAATCTTGTATTCATTCACTTTTTCAAATCTATCTCACCTTTTTTATCTATATTTTCATATGGGACAATATTTTGAAAAAAAAAAAAAAATACAATGGCAACCTATAATTTCATTTTATGATTCGCATGTTAGTTACATAAACAATTTAGGCCCCCACTCATACAAATTTCTAGATCCGCCCCTAATCTTGTGGTTGCGAGAAAGTTGGAGAGAAAGAGAGAGGGGTTGCCATGGGATATCAAATCTCTTATATGCTATTTGTGATGAAAAGTTCAAGCATTTCGTATTTTTAATATTATTTTTCAAATGATTAATAAGGGGAGTAATTTTCTCATTGGGTTAATTGTAGGAAAAATCCTGACCTTTACTTAAATTGCAAATAAAACTCTATTTTCTCAATTTGACAAAACAATACACAACCTTTCAAAAATTTTGCAATTATGTCTCGAAGGAAGATTCTGGTCAACTGATGCTGACATGGCATGTCGGTAAATTGATGTGGCACCGGTTTTGTGACGTGGCAAAAAGACATTTTACACGTAAGAGTTCATGTCATATCACTTACCGTTACCGTAGGAATGCCACGTAGATTAATAAAAACTACTTTATTTGTACCAAAAAAAAAAAAGAGAAGAACACAAATGGCTCATTACAAGATATCAGTGGCCGATTATTACCTAATATCGATAATCTCAGCACCAAAAGACCTTCAAAATTTGCTTCCTTTTTGTCATCTTCTTCAGCTTCCGTTTCTTATGAAGCTCCAAGAACAAAATGCTATTCAATAAAACCTTCTCCCTCCTCAAAAACCTCAAATTCATCATCTTCCTCAAGAACCCATTTTACAAAAATGCCGAACACTAACATCTCCAGAATAGCAAATGCACCAAAGCTGCTTTCCAAATCCAAAGCAAAAGAGACACGCAGAAAACCCTTTTTTGAAGAAACTTCAACCAAAACTGTCCGAAATTAGAATGGTGTACTCGTCGCCGGATTTCAAGTTCTACCGGCGGCCGCAGATTAAGATCGATTTATCAGCGATTAAGAACGCGATTGTTGCAGAGGTGGGGGAGGATGATGTGGAGGATGAGAGAGAAACCTTCAGGAAGTGGAGAGCGAAGTTCAGGGAGAGGGAGAGGGAGAGGGAGAAGGGGCAATTTGGAGAATTTTGGGAACCGATTAAGACGTTGAAGTCCAGGCTGAGGGAATTAGAGCACACGAGTTCCAGTGAGATTTTTGAGGGGATTAAGAATAGTGAGTTTGTCGAGAAATTCAAGTCAAGCCTGGTATGGATATTTCATGTTTCTTGTTGAATAATGCTATTGTACTATTTTTTATGACACTTAAGTTGATTCGAGTGCTCCAAATGATAAACCATATGTGTTTTACCACGTGTAAAATGACTTTTTGCCACGTCACAAAACCGGTGCCACATCAATTTATCGACATGCCATGTCAGCATCAGTTGGCCGGAATCTTTCTTCGAGACATAATTGCAAAATTTTTGAAAGGTTGTGTATTGTTTTGCCAAATTGAGAAGGTGGAGTTTTATTTGCAATTTAAGCAAAGGTCAGGATTTTTCCTGCAATTAACCCTTTCTCATTTATTTGTAGCCTCTTCTGATTCTGATATTGAGATAATTATATCTTGGACGAGAAAATTCAAAATTATTTGCACAAATAATTCCCTTGTATATTTATTAGCATATATACCAATATTATCAAAAATAATTGCAGTTTTACTAGAAGTCTGTTCAGATCTCTTATCTTGACTTAATTAATAAATTTACTACTAATTAATGGTATGATATCATTACCAAAAATCGGTTCCCGAGGTACATGGGATGAGAACTATCCCACTACCCAAAAAATATCCCACTAATTTCTTTTTTCTTCTATTCTTCTACATTTCATATCTTTTCTTTCTAACAAAGCTAATTCTGCAGAACCCTAAGAAATCGAAACACTACCATCGGAGACGGAAATTCACCACATCGGAGGTCGAGTCCCCGTCTAAGGGATATGAAATCAAACAGGCACCCAACCCTCGTACAAAAGAAATTGAAGAGATCGAAAAAAAATATGAAGTCACCGGATTCCGATTTCGAGGAAGAAATTCAAGCCGAAGTGAGTGATAGTGAAGAATGTTCGGTCGATGAAAAAGAAGGCGAGAAACTAATTAAAGATAAATTCCGGATCCCTGCTCGCGAATGTTTAAAGCGGCGTGGGGAGACGAAGGGCGACCGTGACCTAGGGCGTCGAAAGTGGATGGGGAAGGGCGATTCGTCATCTCCCTGCTCGCGATTTTCATCTCCACCAAACAGTATATATGACGTATATATGTAGTATATTTATACCTTTTTTGTTGTTTGTGTAGTTGCAAGTATATATACTGTATATTTTTCGTATATATACTGTTTATATTTTTTTTCATACGCACATTATTAAAGTGTGTATAGTTTGGTTATATCGTATGAAAGATTTGAACTGAAAATTATAAGGATCGACATGATCCTACATATACATATTGTATATTTGTCGTATATATACTGTTTATATTATGTATATTTTCTGTATATATTGTGTTCTCCATCATCTCGTTGATCAGAAAATGGACGACGCTGCTCGTGATGGACGACGTTGCTTGTGATTGTATAATTCAGATTTTTTTTTTTTTAATTAATGAAAGAATACTGCCAGTTACGAGAATCTTATAATGACAACTGTTTATTTATTTTTTTTATACAGTAGTTATCTAAATAATTTTGTTAAGTTAGGCATATTTGCAAATAAATTTTTATTTATGTATTTATGCAGTTCTTTTAAATTCATTACCGTATAACTGCAAATTGCCCTCTGATATTCCCTTGGATTGGTAATGGGTTAGCTACACGAGCAGGCTTGAGCCACTACTAGGCCCATCTATCAAGTTTAAGTATGCAAGTTTGGGGCAGCCCACCACCAGTCTTATCCTAGAGTCAAGCCCAACAACCCAGTGTCATCGGGTCAACTTTAATTGAACTCAAATCTTGTCGGGCCATAAAATTTACCATAGTATTTCTGGCCCATTAAAGGAGTACTTAAATTCGATCATAAGTGTGAAAATGAAAGAAACTGAAAAGGCAACATAACGCCTAACCCGATTTCA